TATGACATGTGCCTTTACTAGACATAGGGTTGCTAGTTAGATGTTATTCCCTTTATCATGTGAAACTGCCTGGAGAGACATCCTTTATAGGATAGTGAATAGACCTTGGTTCCCAAGAGCCGCTCTAATTAAAGCACCCCCTTTCCCTGCCACCATCCTGGAGCATGTATAAGGACACCCCATGTGAGCATTGGCTTTCTGCTCTGTGTACACTGACTGTAGCTTTCCGGGCTATGTTCTAAGTATCAGTTTTAGTCTTCAAAATGTCTGTGGAACTGGCCCAAAGTACCTAAAAGGGTATTTCTTTCTCTCCATCTTAAAGCTCTCTGCTGAAGCTATGTTCCTATTCCACTAATGGAAATTAGAAAGACCAAAAAATTCAGTGCCTTCACAAAGAAGTACAAGACTCATTTCTTTGATTTCTCCCTCATAACTGCAACTAGAAGAGCTATGAAGGACAGAGAAGGGTATAGAACAAAAAGAGGCGAGGACAAGAAAGGAGAGAAACGGACAACAAAGAATAGAGTAGTAGGGTAAAGAGAGACAAGAACAAAATGAAAACTCAAAAAAAAAAAAAAAACCCCAAAATTGCCTCAACTACCTTGAAAGTCACTTAGTTTTTGATTATTTGGTTTTACCTCTCGGGGAGATACACAGACATTACAGAGAGGAGTATTGTTATGAAAACTTTCATAAATGAATAGATAACATTAAATAACAGCTTTCGGAAGCTATGCAGACATTTAGAATGATGAATCAGTCTTTGCAATAATATTTTATTGGGCAGAATTGACATGAGAAAGCCAATGTGGATACAAAACCTTCAATTTAATTTAGGGGTCTGGAATTTAAGCTGTGTGTGTATAAATAAAAGCTATTTTTCCATGGTAATGCATACACACAGATGTTCCCTCTATTATACATGTAAATTTGAGATTTGTTGTGCATATGAGCTTGTGTTCCAAATAAATTATTAAATAATTAATAATAAGTAATTAAATGTGTTCCAAAAATCAATACAATCACATATTAGTGTTTATGCTACCATTAAAACTTGTGTTCAGCAAAACTGTAACAGATGAAGGGTCACATTTATAATAATAAATGCCAGGAAATACCCATTTAGCCTGATGTTAGTCCCTCAACATTAGAGTACAAACAGTGTTTTCTGGGTACAGGTCCCTATGTGCATATAACACCTTGAAGGTTGACTGAGCTAATGACAGAATAAGAAGTCATGACTTTGAATCTCCTGCCTTCTCCAACTCCAACCGTTAACATTATATAACATATGTTTGGCATTTTATTTGCAGTACATATTTGAGAATTTATGACTTGCTTGGCTGAACCATGTCCACCTAACCTTTTCACATAGTATTTTCAAAGTGCCTCATTAATGCCTGCTGGCCAGCTTCAAGTTTCCTGCTCACAGAACAGAAGCCAACAGTCTGCTCCAGACCCTAGTTAGCTCATTCAAAAAAGAACCTGTAAAAAATTATACAAGCCACAGTTCTCAGAAGTCGGATCTTTTTATTGGTCTGGTATAAAATGTGTCACTTTCAACAGGTAAGTACCATTTTGATCACAAAATCTCAAAATGTACCTTTAGAAATCTTGGGAGCAATGTTTGAAGTATACCTCCTTTTTATAGTGAGGGGAAAGACAGGTAAATGTGTAAAGAAACATTTTGGAACTATCATTTTCTGGCTTAAGTAGCCATTTTCTGCCCTTCGGGACACACTGACCCGACAAAAACTACTCCAATTTTGCCACATCGTAAGCCAAAAAGAAAAAATGTACCTTGTAGAAAAACTTAGATTCTAACAGCTAACTTGCCAGGTGATTACATCAGTACTGGACCTGGCCCAGCCATACACTTACTGGGATTTTCTCAGAAAATACAGCACTGAGCAACTGCAAGGTTTAATGGGTCCAGCTGCTGCAAACTATTACCAGGGACATTCTTTCTCTCTGCTCTCTATGAACCCCCAGATCTGCTGGGCCCAGGCAATGTACAAAAGGAAGATGCTGGATTCAAAAAGAGAGGACAAGAGCCAGATCTACCCATAAGAGGGGAGAATTATGGAAGAAGAGATGGGATAAGTAACCCTGGGTGTTGTGGAAACCATAATGGAAGGCTTGCAGAGAAACTGTGTCTGGAGCCTAAAAACAGGCTAAAGCTAGCTTGGAAAAGAGAATGGGACTTCAAGTCAGAGATTAGGTTGGGACTGGGCTTGACTAGGATGTGGAACAGCAAAGGGAAACAATAGAGAAGTCTGTGTCCACTAAAGGCTCTCCACAGTCTGAAGTGGGATCCAAGATAGATAAGCCTCACACAATGCCCTGCCGTCTGCAAATAGCTGTGAACCTTAGAGGCAAAATTTCTATTGCTGCAAACAGATGTTGTTCTTGCACCAGCAATTTTTTTATGGCAACACAAAACATGAGTGAACTAATATCCTTGCCCCTTGCTGTGCTCCAAATGCCTAAGCGTTTGAGTGTGATTAATAGTTTGCATCCTAACTGCCACTACTTGCCATTGCCAGAGACCGGATCCTGGGCTAGGTGTGAAAACTTTTGTTTCACCCTGTATAGAAGTTCTTATGTTTTATGTAAACTTCTGGGTGCTAATTTTTTCAACCATAATTGTGTACATATTTTTGTACGTACATATTTCTGTATGCACGTACGCTGCTGCCAAGGCACTGCAAATACCATTTGCAGCATACTACTTGGCTAATCAACAATTTGTATTTCTTTAATGTATACAATATATAGCCATAGAGAAAACAGTAAAGCAGTCAATCTGTTACATAATTAAGGTGAAGACATTCCATTTTTGTGGTAAGTTTATTATGGCAGCCATAGTTAAGATTGCAACTGAAGTTATAAACCCAACTTCACCTTTTGGCCATAAAAAAAAATATTTACATGAGTAAACTAAATGTAGGTTAGGCAGAACTTTTCCATGAAATTTGAAGTTAATTTGATATGGGGCACCTGAATTATGACAATCTGCAAGTAGGTGTTCCCCAGGGGTCATGACATAGCTTTGTTACTTTGTGGTGGGAGAAAAGCCCCACAGAAAAAAGCAAGAGAAAAAACATTTAATTTTATTAGATGATCCTTGCTAAGACCTATGCCCAGCATCAAAGTCTAGTTTCTAAAGTTATTAACTTCTGAATAGTTTAATACTCAGTGCTGCTCTGGAACACATCTGCTGTAATGAGCTGAGTATAGAGCATCAAAGAACTCCTGGAGACCTAAGGTTTCATTTAAAGTAAATATGCCTCTAGCCTTTTCCCTTGCAAAGAAAGATTCAGAATGTGAACCAATTACTAGAGACACATTTCAATGGAAAAGAAGTCCTTTTCCACCAAAAGATCTTCCACAAGGAGCAAGCAGACAGATTTATCTGCAAAAGCAACTTAACTTTTAAAAAAAATGGGAGCAGCTATAATCTTGTTTTTCTGAGTAAATTATCATAACCTAAACTGACCAGGAATATAATTTCAGCAGTTGTCCTGGGAAGTTTTTTACAAGAGAGATTAATCTATCACACAGTTGCTAGACCTAAACATCATTTTAATTGTTTTACTGCATTACACATTTTCTTTGTTGCATCCCACTGCATTCAAAGTGCCATGAATCATAGTGCACACATAATCTCATTAGAATTCATTATGTAATTACAGCAGATCTTTGGTAGTACTGACTACTCAACAGCTGAGAGTGAGTCTTCAAATATAACTCCATCCCTTCTTTTTCACATGTTAGTACATCTATAAAAAGCTTCAGAGAGTGCTTGTTTTCAGTTCCAAGAAGAACAATTTTATACAGAAAGTTTAAGGAAACTGTTTTGTGCATTTTTAATTTTATGATCAAGGAAAAAAATAGCTTTTCCTAATTCAAGAATGTTCAAGAACATGCATTGTTGTTTGTACATACATTTAGATATTGCTGTGCATTAAAATGTGACAAGAGTGCATTTTTGTTGGGGTTTCATACATGCCAGTACTGTTATGTTTGCTATCAACTGCTAAAAATCTGAAGCGGAGAGTCTTTGGTCTTTTTCATACCTATGACATGACCATCAGCTACCTGTAAATGTATGTCCTCAAAATGTGTCCTGGAACCACTGCATCGTGTGATGGTGCTCCATGATAGGAACTAGGATGCAATCAATGGCTTTTATGCTGATTTTGTTACATAATTAATTTGGGGAGGGGGGAGTTGGAGAAAGGGAGTATTAGGAGCCTAATAACTTACTAAAGGAGGGATATGACGGGTAATGAATAGGCCTTTGTTAACTCCCCTGGTTTTGGTGAAAACTATAAAATCAGATTAGATTCCACAAAAAGTTTCATCCATATCTCTGAACTGGGCTGACTTCTGGTTCTGACTGAAATCTGGTGGTCTTTACCAGGAAACTAGACAATTTGGCAATTTCTTAAAAAGTCTTTAAGCTCTTGGATTGGTTAAAACTTAAAATTTAGGATGAAAACTGCAAACCCCAAGCAAACTTAAAAAACAGATGAACATGGAACCTGGGAGAAGCCAGTCCACCAGACTGGGTGCAGCTCTAATTGTAATCCACAAACTATGATCCATGGGCATAAAGTGAACACCAAGATTCCTCAGATTGTAAAATCCTTAGGGTGGGACTATTTTTAATTACAGGCATGCACTGTGTTTAGTCTGATGGGATCCTGATCCTTTCCTGACTCCTTCAGGCACTACCTCATTTTAAATAATAAATGAAAATAGACTCAAACTGCTAAGGAAGACCCCTGTCTTCCAAAGACTCTGATGACCATCTGCATGCAAAATGATTGCCCTCATCTCCCTCACTGACTCCAATGGTCATTGAGAACTGCTGTTACTGTGCAGGTTTGGGTCAAGGTTGCATCATAACTTCAAGTCCTCCCAAGAGGGAAAGGAATAAAATATCTCTATCTACAGCTCTGAACAAACACATATGCAATAAATGTTGGCATTACCTTGCAAGGCATGGGCTTTTGGAAGGTGATTTCAGCTTGAGTCCAGACTCCCCTTGGGGATTCCAAGACAGACCAGATTTTTTCTTGAACTACATGATTCTCCTCAAAGATATAAACAGCCAGAGTACCACTCATTTTGAAAAATCCATATAAGGAATAATAAAACCGCAGACAATACTGCAAGTTTCCTGGCAGAGAGGGGCCATACAGACGTCCAATGTACCCAGGCTGAGATGTAAATTTTGTGTTCACCAGCAAGTAATAACCTGCAAAACAGTGCAATTATTGAGTATTTCAAATACACAATTTATAATGCCCATTCACTCATTAAAGGAGCTTTAGTCATTTCAGTTTTCAATGGCAGGTTTGTAGATTATATAAAAATTAGGGTGACCACCATAAATCCCAGTTTAGCCAGGACAGGCCTGGATTTTGGAGGCTGGTCCCAGTCAGCTGGTGAGAATTAAAATGAGCATCTCAGAAGGACAGGGGCACAAAGTGCAGTCCTGTGGGGAGGCAGAGTGGCACAGACCCAATTATTACATTTTTAGGGTTTCCCATTCTCTCATGGGGTTTCCCTATATAAAAACCTTGTTTGTAAGACTCTGCTTAAAAGAAAATAAGAAAAATTATAAAGCAGCTCTCTTCCGTTACAGATTTAAGACTACATGGTCAGGTTCCAGCCTTTACTGGATGTTGCCACTTTTCAAATACATATTGAACAACTTTCTGTTATAGTACCTTGCTGACTGCATTGGCAACCTGACACAATTTCACAGCTCCAGCAGCCTGACCCAAAGGAATGATGCTAAGATACATGCCACATTACTCACTGCCATGTCCTCACTGACTAGTAAGTACAGACAAGGTAAGGTTCTCTGGCATATATGGCTGAATGATGATGAATGCTACATGGAAGAATATATGTGAGCAGCATTACAACAGTGTTACAGATATTCCCAGTGTTACAGTTGCAGACTGTTTATAAAGTCTAAGACTTGCCCTTAAAAATACAAGACATCCTGAGGTGCTTCCTTAGCTGAGGTAATACCACTGTCACATGCATTTTATCACTAATGTGCCCAGAAAGAATGGATATGCACATGGCGAATGCCCCTCCTTATGAAAATCAATACAAAAAAACCTGCTGATTATTAGAAATTCCTAAAGGAACTTCATCACAGGCTCTAAAACTATATGCTCAATCAGTATAAATCAGCGTTTTTCCACTGGTGTCGAAAGCCAAAATTCTTTACACCAGCTAATGATCTGGCCCTGTGTTTCCATATAAGGGTCCAGAACAACCTAGTCCTTTGTGAGAATGCACAACTGTGGAAGGCCACAGTGAACATTCCCCATTATGTGTCGAGGCCAGGTACAATCATTGTTCCAACACCCACTGGGATGGTACCATGTGACCAGGAGTTCCCAGAAGGGCAGCATATCTCTGTCTTGCCCATAGGTGGAGGGAGAAAAAATTATTTGGGGGTCTGAGCATACCCCCCCACCCCAAGCAGGTAAGTCTGTGGAGGAAGGAGCAGGGGGAGGGGAAAGGGCCATGGGGGAGGAGGGGGAAGATCAAGGCCCTAGCAGTGAGGGAAGGAGCAAGGCATAGGCAGAAGCAGGGGCTGGAGTGAGTGGGGCCCCAGCCAGGCCAGGTGGTGGGACAAGCAGAGGTCCAAGGGCCACATGCCCCCTGATCTGTGTGCGGGGTGAAGGCTGCTGCTGCTGCTGCACACTGGCCCAAGCTGCCCCGCTGCCCTGAGCCATGCAATGCCATGTGCATCTCACTGCCAGCTGGGCAGGAAGTGAGGGACAGTTGCTTCAGGGACCAAAGCGCAGCAGCAGCTGCCTCTGCCTTGCACATAGATTGTGGGGGCAGTGGGCACATGCCCCACAGGCCTCTGCTTGTCCCATCACCCAGCCCAGCCAGGGCCCCACTTACCCCAGCCCCTGCTCCTGCCTGTGCCCCGCTCCCTCCCTCACCACTGGGGCCTCAATCTGCCCCCACTCACCACCTGGCCCTTTCCCCTCCCTGCATAGATTTACCTGCTGAGGTGGGGCATGCACGTGCACACATGCTGAGCCCCGCAAATACTTTTTTCTCCATCCGCCAATGGCTGCCCCCACTGAGA